AAAATGTTTAATTCATTTTACATGTTATATATAATTATTTTATTAATAAATTAATTTTGCATATTAATTTATTTATGCAAATATTCACGGTGCGTTGTCTTATAGAATTACATGACAGGATTAATGGTGTTTCTTTAAATAACTTTTACTTTTCATATATTTAATGTAGGTTGGGTGTTTTCTGACTAACATTTATTTTAATTAAATATTTACACTTTGCGTTGAGTTTAAAATCGTAATATTTAGCGATGTTTTATTGTAGATTGATTGATTTAACATTAAATAATTGAAAATAAACATCCATGTCAAACAGGATCATAAAATACATAGAGAAAACTTATGGAATTTTAATATTTGATGTCGCCTGTTTGTAATTTTTGTTGAAGGAGATGGAGGTTGTTCACACTTGGTTATCTCGTGTGTCTTTAATAATGGTCACTGTAATATCTTTCAGAGTTATTGTCTCAATCCCGATATACATGCTAAAAGGTACAACTTCCTTAAGTTTTGTCCATGAGTGTATACACACTTGGTTATCTCGTATGTCTTCAATAAAGGTCACTGTAATATCTTTCAGAGTTATTGTCTCAATCCCGATATACATGCTAAAAGGTACAACTTCCTTAAGTTTTGTCCATGAGTGTATACACACTTGGTTATCTCGTATGTCTTCAATAAAGGTCACTGTAATATATTTCAGAGTTATTGTCTCAATCCCGATAAATATGCTAAAAGGTACAACTTCCTTAAGTTTTGTCCATGAGTGTATACACACTTGGTTATCTCGTGTGTCTTCAATAAAGGTCACTGTAATATATTTCAGAGTTATTGTCTCAATCCCGATAAATATGCTAAAAGGTACAACTTCCTTAAGTTTTGTCCATGAGTGTATACACACTTGGTTATCTCGTGTGTCTTCAATAAAGGTCACTGTAATATATTTCAGAGTTATTGTCTCAATCCCGATATACATGCTAAAAGGTACAACTTCCTTAAGTTTTGTCCATGAGTATATACACACTTGGTTATCTCGTGTGTCTTCAATAAAGGTCACTGTAATATCTTTCAGAGTTATTGTCTCAATCCCGGTATACATGCTAAAAGGTACAACTTCCTTAATTTAGGTCCATGAAGTGTAGAAAACAGTTTATTTTGTACATACATGCTATCATAATCTCTCTTTTCTTTACTTGTATTCGTGGAATTAGATTTGTACAAAAATCGGGGTTTATTGAAGCAAAAAAAAAAAGTGTCCAATCCGGGAGTCGATCCCAGTTTATGGTTGCCAAAAATAGACTCATCTCCCCAAATTTCACTCTTTCTCTAAAACTAGAAATTAATTATATATATATAGCAAATTAGAAACCAGTATATATAGAAAACCAACGCATACAGGCAAATATCTCAATTTTAATTCATTTGGCCCCATTAATCATAAAATATCCGTTATAAAAACACTTTCTAAAAGAATTTACACCCACTGCTCCTCAAATATTAAAAATATTAAATCTGAACAAAACATATTTTACAATGAGATGAAAAATAATGAATATCCTCCAGGTTTCATCAAGAAACATATATATAAGCCCACCAACAGTCCTACAAACAATAGTGAAGAATCGAATAAATACTGTGCACTGCCATACAATTATGCCATTGAAAAAATAACAAGAATACTTAAAAATTACAATATCAAAACCCGATTCAAAACCACAGCAAATCTGAAAGAAATTCTACGCCATCCCAACACTAAACATAATAGCAATCATGAATTTAAATCAAATATAGTATAACGCATTCCATGCAAATCATGTCCTGCAACCTACATAGGAGAAACAGGTAAAACTCTTGAAGAAAGAGTAAATCAACACAAAACAGCTTTTAAAAATCATAGCCCATTATCACTTCTAGTAGATCACGCACTCAAACAGGACCATATACCAAATTTTGAAAATACAGATATTATATACAACAACATTCAGGATAAACACTCAAGACTCATTTTAGAAAGTTGGATCTCAATGAAAGATACCAACAGTATTAGTAGAAAAATTGACATCTCTCCGTTATATTTACAGTTCAAATCGATTTTAAATTATTTTCTTATACTTATTATGAATCAGGTATATATAGTCTATTATTATTGATATTTGTGTGTATATATTTTAAATTTTAGCCCCAGAGTTGTATATATTTTATTTATCGTCGCATGAAGGCAACGCGTGATCATCCAAAGCAGTTTAAAACAAGAAAAGCCCTCTGATGAAGTTAGGCGTACAGCCTATTGAAATATTGGCATTTTATATTAGATCCAAAATATGCCTTTTATTAATATATATATGAAAAAACAATAGAAAAAAATAAAAGATAAGTGGGTCAGGTGTTGATATTAAAAATAAAGAAGGCATCTCCTGACCACGAGCACATGTGCTTTTTAAATGGCAGAGCGCCATCTAGTGGAGCAAGAATAAACTAAACGTTTATTTAGCTTGCTCCGAGATATTTGGCCAACCCAATTTCTTGATAAAATTTCGTGGATGGCTTTTCTTGATTTATCAAGAAATTGGGTTGGCCAAATATCTCGGAGCAAGCTAAATAAACGTTTAGTTTATTCTTGCTCCACTAGATGGCGCTCTGCCATCTAAAAAGCACATGTGCTCGTGGTCAGGAGATGCCTTCTTTATTTTTAATATATATATTGAAACTATGTATTTAAAATAGTTCAAACATATACACGCAAATATCCATATAGGACATAGCGTGTGTTTTGTAAAAAAAAATAATAATAAAAAATATATAATACATTGTGGAATAATTATATACATTGTAGATAAACACAAAATATATGAAAATTACTGTTTAATAAAGCATACGAAATTCTAACAGAATGTTTTGGAATACAAAATTTACTAATTAACTCAACACAAAATAACATACTACAAAATTCCTGGTGAAATAACACTCAAGGATAAACGTTCAACGAACCTAATTTAAAAATCATTATTTCTTTTCAACAAAATTTGTTTAACTTGTAAATTTTAATACCAATCTGAAGTGTTATTTTTAAAGTTAAAAAAACGGTTATGCAAACAGAAGTAATGGGAAAGATAAATATTTACATAGTTACAAAGGTAAATTGACAGTAAGCAGACGAAACATTTATACAGGGTTGCCGAACATTAATTAAATAAAATTATTGATTTATCTTTTGATTATTTTTCTTTTTTTTATATTTCTTGGAACATCTGGATTTCTTAATGAGAAAATTACAATTCTATAATTAGATAATTATTTCAGTTTTTATTACAATGTTCAAATCTATAAGCTTGAGGGATGAGTTTCTTTTGCAAATAAATTTATTTCGAGCTTTCGGGCAACGCCCTTCTACAGGAAAATTGAAAATAAAGTAAATTAAATTATATTACACTGAGATTAAGCGAGGCAAATGTATAACAAACTATATAAAATAAATATCAGAAACAAACACACGTGAGAATACTCGTGCGTCAGATACATATGAATAAATCAATAAACTGAATTTTTTTGATATTTGTGTATATATATATATAGCGAACCCGAATGTCTAAAATATGAAATGATATAGAATCGGACTAAGAATATGGCATAATTTTGGAAATATAGGACAGAATAACTATTGAATTTGTGGTCTCTGCGTTCATGATACAGTGGGGGGTTGGGTGGCAGCAGGGAATATTACATTATAAATTTCCGGTAAATCAATTTTTCTATTATTTTCCTGTAGAAGGGCGTTGCCCGAAAGCTCGAAATAAATTTATTTGCAAAAGAAACTCATCCCTCAAGCTTTTAGATTTGAACATTCTATTAAGGAATTAGCCTATTAATTTATTATAATGTATTTATTTATTCTTTGATTTATTCATAATGTTTATGATTTTATAAATGAACGTTCTTCCCTGATTTATAATATTATAAAGAAAATAAAGTCTCCAGGGCTAAGGTTCTTGCTCAAAATTATTTTTATTCTCTAGCTTTCGGACCTCTCAGTCCTTCCACAGGAGTATCACGATAACAATTTGATGGTATATATTCTATACTAGCCAAATGACCCGGGCAACACCCAGGTTTTACCCGATTAAATGTTTTTATTCAAATACTATTCGTTACAATTATAAATTGGAGCCGTGGATGTTACTCTTGTGAAACGTCCCGCTCCAAACTTTAGATGTACATTAGGTCAGCTGGTATTACCCCTCATTTTCACCGCTAGAGGCGCGAGCGAAAGAGCACATTTACAAATAACACGACGGATATTCGAGATAGAGACCTGAAATTTTCACTAAGAGTTTTTCCAGATTCTACTTTATATACTGTTAAAATTTCAGTCAGATTAGTTACGTATTGTGGACGTGTATAGTTGACAAACATGCATACATACTGTCGCGTGTTTACCCTGCTGGTTCTTTGCGACAACACGCTTCTTCCCTTCGTGGTTCACCTACCCGGGCTCCGGTTGCTCTTCCTTGCGGCTTTTCCCCGCAGGCCACCCAAAGACTTCCTGAGTTCCACCTCTCCTGTGGAAACTCCCTTCTTCTGGCAGTATCTCTCGGCCTTACCACTGGTGGGGGGACACGAGAGACTTACCAGAAGAGTAGTAGCAGCAGCAGCAGCAGTAGACTGGCGATGAAGGCAGTGGCAGAGTAACGACAGGAGGCAGCACGCAGACTTGAAGCACTTCTTTTATTGTCATCTATTACTAACATTAAATCTAAATAAAACAACAGACAATGTGTATCTACATGACCCTACATCCTGGGGCCAACACAAAAGCGTATTTACATCCAACCTCCCCAGGAAACGGGACCACAGCAGTCGGCGACTCCCACATCGGCCAGCAAGGGAATCCGGCGAAAGCGCCATCTATAGGCGGAGATTACAACTGTTTAGAGGCCTTACACGTAACAATACATAGGCTGACTTATATATATATAGGGATAATAATATAAATGAGTTTTAAAAATTGTAAAAAAAAAAAAAAGGAATCGAACCCGGGCCGCCCGCGTGGCAGGCGAGCATTCTACCACTGAACCACCGATGCTTATAATAAATGGCCCTATTTGGGTATTTATTCCATTCAAAAAAGCAAACGATGGCAGATTTTATTGTTGACGACTCTGATACTTGTATATAAGATAATATTTTTTGCATATTTAATTTTATAAAGTTTTAATTTAACAAAGATAATAATAATAGATAGAATATTTACATATTAGATTACGTAACAGAATGTTTACTTATTTAACTATATTTTACATATTTTAAATCTAAGGCTTAGGGTTTGTTAATATTGTTTCATGTTTCTGATATTTCTATGCATCTGTTTATGCTTTTTTTGTTGTTTGGTTATCATAGATTCTATTAAAAGTCTTTGGTATTTACTATGGATATTGTTATAATACACTATGGGTTGAGATAAGTTAAATGTGTGGCCTGTTTCTTTTATGTGTTGAACTATTAAAGATCTTGGGTCACTATTATGATTTTATGACCAACCGATTGTTATCTATTGTTATATCAGATTTGAGATATGCGCTTATTTTTATATAAACAATTTATAAATATTATTTAATGTTAAATAATAATTACAATAAACCGTTTGTTTTTGACTGCTACGACCTGGGTTCGATTCCCGCATTGGGCACTTTTTTCTGATAAAAAATGCTCCAATGGCCCCCGAATCTCGAAAAATCCAACACCACCAGCGAGTGCAAATAATCAAACTGGGGTTCTGGCACATTTGTGAGTCTAAAGTCGAACTGCTTTTCACATGTATAGACATGTGGTGTACTTACAGTAAAAGCAGTCGCCTACTTCTACCCACCATGATCATCATGGCCTGTACCATGTGTAGACATGTGGTGTACATACAGTAAAAGCAGTCGCCTACTTCTACCCACCATGATCATCATGGCCTGTACCATATGTAGACATGTGGTGTACTTACAGTAAAAGCAGTCGCTAACTAACCACCATGATTATCATGGTCTGTACCACGTGTACTAGGAATAAGAAAAAACATAAACATAAAACGTATAATAATAAAATACCTTTTATGGTGTTTAAACAACGTTTTATTATTATACCCGTGAAATGGTGCACTGAGGTGGATGCGATCGAACACGTCTGTCTGCCGCACCTTCCTGCATCCAACGATCATATATCCGCATATAAGCACCGATTCTTTTCTCTCAAGAGAACAACAGTCTTTGATTTCCAGACTTAAGTCTGGTCATCTATGGACAATGACTTTCCAGAATGTTTGCAAGGTTTTCCCACTATGTACAAAGTGTCAACCTGCAACCCCAAGTCATATTATTGACTGTTATCAAAATTCGAAACTATTTTAAACGCGTATGATTATTTTTTGAAATAAAACAATTTCTACTGCCCTTACTGCAATTGATAAAAATTAAAGGGAGGGCCTGGCTCATCAGTGGTGAACCCTCCCAGCGGTTTCATCAGTTTAATTTTGCATCATATTATTGACTGTATTGACTCATCCATTTATGAGATTTACTCTTCCCCGGCAGACACCATCAACAAGCTTTACAAGCTTGATACCTTAGTGTGATTGAGTAGAGATAAGAAAGAAGAAGAAGAGACATATCCGCATTACAGTTGTTTGGTTTTATCCAACACGACTACCGATTTTCCTGAAAGATAATCTACAATCTCGGTAGGCCACTATTCTTCCTCTGACCAACTCGGATACTTTATCAAAAGATGATCGCTGTTTTCTACAAGGCACAATTGATCGTTTAACACAAGAAAAACACAATTAGCGAACTTGAAATCGTCGAAATCTTCAAACCTTAAATAGTGCTTTGAAGTGAAGCTACAGACGCGTGTAATGTTCGTCTGCTCTGAAATTCTATTCATTTGCATATCTCACCTCCGTTAAATACATGTTGTAAATATCATGTTAGTTGCATGCTTCTTTCAGGGTGTTGTATTTATGGTCGGCAGAGTTTATAAAAATATTTGCATAGTTTCTTCTATTCAGAAATTGGGAGACAAGCTTTCACGCTTTATCAGGCTCTTTCTCAATGTATTATATTCTTTTTTTATAAACATACTCAGCACTCCTCGTTTGTTTATAAACAAAATTGTAATGCCTTGACAAAGATTGGCGTTCAGCCGACCGAAATATTGGTAAATAAATCTTTTATTCAATCCATGTCTTTTTTATTATATAAAGATTTAAATAAATATATATATTAAAAATGAATAAAGCATATCCTGACCAGGAGCACATGTGCTTTACAGAAGGCAGAGCGCCATCTAGCGGAACAGAGATCAACTAAACAGTGATTTAACCTGTTCCCTGATATTTGGCCAACCCAATTTCTTGATAAATCAAGAAAAGCTATCCACGAATCACATCTGTAAAGCACATGTGCTCGTGGTCAGGATATGCTTTCTTTATTTTTAATATAAACACCTGACCCACTTATTATATATATATATATATATATGTTATATTAAAATATTATAGTATATCTAAAATTATATATTTCATAGTTTCAAATACTCTGTTTAAATCGACCGCCAGAGGTCACTCTTTCTCTATAAATACTCATTGTTGTTGCTCCCCGTTGGTCGGCTCAAAACTTTTGTAATTATGTAAATAATCTTTTGTTTTCCTTATTATACTCGCCTTAAGCCAGGCAGTACTTTTTACCAAATTATGTTTTCATGTATTCCTTTAGCGCAATTAAAGCTATTTTTAATAACTAATTTCATTATAATCTCTTCCACGACTGCATACCAAAATCAAGCAAATGACCAATAATTCTTCTACAAGTAATTAATATCAAAATACAACAGAAATTTCATTCATCTTTGTTTTTATAACATATATATATATAATATATATGTGAAATCCATATATATATATATGGATTTCACTATATTCGAAACGATACAAAAAAATATGATTGCAATGGTATCTGTTTTGAATTGACAATGCTTTTATAACATTCTATATGCTAAAAATTACTTTTCTTTAATAATGCATTAAAACAATGCATTTTAACTCCGCTCTTGCCGGTCCCAAGCCCGGATGAAAAAGGAGGAGGGGGAGCAGTAACAAGCTCACTAACCAACCTGGGCTCAGCTGCCCATGCTGATAGTACCATGTAAGGGCTCCAGGGATACAGGATGAGCAGTGTTTGTACTCCATGTTAGGAGCGGCTGTACATGGTGTCTGTTCCTCATGTCACCATTTCATATTGGAGCTAAGTCAGTGGACTGCTACTGAGTAGTGCTCCCAGTCTTAATGACAAAGGGGATACAGGATGTACTCCATGTTGGCTGTACATGGTGTCTGTTCCTCATGTCACCATTTCATATTGGAGCTAAGTCAGTGGCCTGCTACTGAGTAGTGCTCCCAGTCTTAATGACAAAGGCAGACGCATTATACTTCACCCAGTGTGGAGATAAGAAAGAAGAAGACAATGCATTTTGTTTTATCACTTCATTACTAAGTGTAATGGTTGTCAAAATGAAAATGAGCCTCAACTCATGATTATCATAAGTAATATTAACAGCGGTAAATTAAACTGGCGAAACCGCTGGAAGGATTGACTACTAATAAGCCAAGCCCTCCTATTAATTTTTTTCATTGCAGTAAGGAGAGTAGAAATTGTTTAAATATTAAAAAAGAATCTTACGCGTTTATAATAGTTTCGAAATTTGATAACAGATGGCGTGCTAATGTATTATAAAAGCAGATTAAAGGTATCATAGAAATTATCATTTGTATTATGCAGTATTGTTCAATTGATATGTCTTTTTCTTATCTAAAAAAATTGTTAGTATGTAAGTAATAGATACCTAGAAAATATTCGAAAAAGAAAAAAAAAAACAATATTAAGGTGAAGGGTCTTTTTTATTTTTGATTTTCGCAAGTTTTCGAGCAAAATTTCTGTTCTTCAACGGGCATAGACTTCTATGTACAATATATTTCTATTCCTAGAAATCTTCTAGTCTTTTTGATTTGAAGGATTTAAAAGCATGGATGTTTCTTTTATACATAATACAAGCTTCTACTGTCCTTACTGCGATAATAAATATATTGGGAGGGCTTGGTTCATCGTCCAATACAGTATTAGAGTTCTAAAGAAGCGGTCTGGTAGATTAAAAAAAATGGTGAAACCGCTGGGAGGGTTTGTAATTCTACTG